GCACCCTTCTGAACTTTTGCTCTGCCTTGATGACTTATACGTAGCATTAGCATACCCACAACCGTGTTTTACTTATGTAATTTGGTTTCATTTTCGGCGGAATTCTAAGTGTAAGGGTCGACCTGCTGACTTTTAAACAATTGGACCTTTTTTTGCTTACTACTCCGAGGTGGCTTTCTATTGCTGCATCTAGGACGCACGGTGAGATATCGCCATTTTTTCAGTAAACGTCATACCAGCATGAAATAAGCCGACCAGAATAATCGGAATTCAGCTAACCAATCGTTTGTTGTGGATGTTGACTCTGTGGAATCTCTCTTCTGATCTGACGGCGTTCGCGGAATCCGAACTCTGTGCTAGGCTTCTTGCTAAGCACAATCATGCAGACCCTGCATTCCGCAATCGACTAGTCTTTCAGTGGAAAGCGAGCAACCGTTCACAGATGCACTATTATCTGTGGCGAATATGGGATGCATAACACTGACGGGAGACCGACTACATCATGCATCTTTGTCACCCCTTCCCTGTTCATCAAATGAACTAAGGCTTTTCCTACTAAAAGCACTAAAGAGAATTATCAAGACTCCTTTCACTGGCCGCTCGAACCTCTACTTTATATATGTTTTTGCCTTTTCCCTGATAGCAAGTAGTATTCGAATCGAATTTGATTCGTATTCGACAACTCTACAATTTAGGATTCGATTCTTGTCCTACTTGTCCTTTATGTAGTGTACGAATCGAGATCGATAATCACTCTACAATGTAGAGTCTCCATTTTAAGCCGAGCAGGGGGTACCTCCTTCATCGCGAAAACCCCCCTTTTTTCGAAACGCAGTAGAAGAGTACTTTTTTTGAAGACGTTTAATGTTGTTAAAGTTTATTTGTAAAAAATAAGGTAAACAAAATATAATAATCTGTATTAGTCGAAAAAAATAAAGCGCGGTAATAGTAGTCAGGGCTAAAAAAATATATGCCGGTAAAATAACCGAAACAAGTAAGGGTATAATAATAGGCGGGCGTACAAAAATATGTTACTCTCGATAAAGTAAAAAGAGGGAATGTTCGGCGCTCTAAGCGGGACTCAGAACGTTCACTTGGGAGGGGTAAGGAGTGCTGGTAGACGGGTCCGGGCCATCGCCATCGCCTGGATTGTCATCTGTAAGACAGGAAATACAAAACTCATTTACCGAATACATATAAGTGGTGATGGCAAAAGTGATAGCATGGGGTACAGCC